CACATGGATCCTGGATAAGAGCTGCTGGGTTACTCTGGTGGTCTTTCCTTCCTGATTTGTTGAACGAATGCTCATATTCCATACTTAATCTAGTTTTTGCATCCTTAAAAGTGAAACATTCAAAAATTATGTAGATGCTCATTATAGCTCCTTAGTTAAGATTGAGTTGAATTTTGCACTTAAAACCTCTGTTATTTGTGAAGAATACCACATATCCTCCCCAAAACTGCTAGAGAGATGAACAGTGTGTGTCTGAATGTCTGTCGTTGTGTATATGATTGAGAGCTGATTTATGAAGGGATAGGCTTTGCATAGTATTTCCTGTTAGGAGGAAGGGTTGTTACTTTTAGTTTTGTGTTATTGTCCCTTAGTAACCTTAACTGTTTATCATAAAGGTGGGGTGGGGGGGTTTATGAATAGACTATAGGCAGAATCAGCCCAATAGCTCTGGTTATGCTTAACTGGAGCCATTGTGACATCAGAGATAACCAGCCATCACGCTCCTTCTACAGCTAATTTGCATGCTATGATTTTATTGACTGCAATGAGGAACTAAGTATGATGCTTTCCAGGGGTACCCAGGGTTGTGAGGCACCTCGCTATCACTTGCCCTTAGCATGTGGAAGCCTTGTCTGTGCCCACCCTGGGTCAGCTCCCCAACTCTACTAGTAACATAAGCCCTTCCCTCTAGACCTGCACAGGCACTGTTCTCGCTGACAGGCACATTCCCACGTCCAAGCATCTCTCTAGAGCGTCCAGACCCTGTTCTACTGAACACCCATAGTATTCACAGAAACCGTACACATCAGTTTACCAGCTCCACCTCCAATCACAATTCTGCTTACCACACAGTACTTAGATATGTTTACAGTGAAATGATGTATGAGTTTATTTAACAAAGTATAGCGATTCAAGTGATAGCAAGTAGAAGCATTCGAAACAAAAGGTTACACAGAAAATAAAATCATAATACTCATTCTAGAGCCTAGACTTAATTAACAAGATACTCTCACCTAAAGTATTGTTCACCAGTACTTTACAACTAGGCTTCACTGTGATCTTCTGTTCATGAGACAAGTCACACTGTCAGCTTGCCTCCTCAATCAAATGTCTCTTGATATACCCTTAGATATACCAAGACAGTCCCTTGGTCCTTTTCATAAACAAGAACCCCACTCCACCCATCCCCACCCTCCACCCTCCTGCTGATTGTTCCTTCCTGTGGCTTCCCTCTCTTGTCAATTTCTCTTGATTAGGATCCGGTTCAGTATGCAAATAGACTTCCATTGTGAAGTGGACAATACAGAATACACATATGACCAGACAGGGAGATAAGCATCTGTTAGCTCCTGCCTGAAAGGAACCTGTCTGATGTAGATCACCTCTTCTAAGATCTTAAAACACAATTTTCAGTATAGATATATAACTTCTTAAATACTATTCTTACATACATTTTGCAATGATTGTGATGACCAGCGGCCTACTAGCTCTCAGTAGAGACATTACATGCCACCCGTTGGTGAACTAATATGTATATATCTGACCCAGGCAGTCTCTGTAAACCCCTGTGCCCTCTGCCAGTTGGCACTAAGTGGTCTCTGGGTTGCACTAAGGACCATCATGAACTTCACCAGCTTGCACTCCAATTGCAAAGGTGAACTTCATTGACCTGCATTCTCTAACATAAATACATAGCAACTTGCATGTATAAATCATACCAAAACAAGATGCCCCTCTGCACACACTTCAGCTCCTGAGGAGAACATGAAAGAATAAACAGCATGACAGATGTTAGTCATATCATTTAACGCGCTACTGGAAGACACTCAGGTACTACAATAAGGAGCATGGTATAAGAACCTCTGTAGAACCGAATATTGTAAAAGCATTGCGTTTACTCAGCTCATGAGGGAAAATATAAAAATTATGTCTTTAAAATCATTTTTACTGAATCTAGAACCACAAACATTAAAATGCATCAATCATAATTGTATGATTATTGCGTGACCATTACAGGGTGGAGTTATGGTTGTTTGGCTACTTTTACATGTTTAGATTTTTTTTTTTAATTTAACCCTATCTCTATATTTCCTGGGTTTGCAGAGTTTGTTTTGGAGAGAATCAAAACATCCTTGTCACTTTTTTTAACATTTAAATTGTGGAGTGAGAGGAAGTCTTGTAATGCTGGTCTGAGTTGAAGAGCAGAACACAAGATTGGGTACATCTACAATACAATTAAACAGCCCCTTACCCTAAGCCCTGCGAGCCCAAGTCAGCTGGCACAGGCCAGCCGTTGGTGTCTAATTGCAGTGTAGACATACCCTATATGGTGAATCAGGAGTGAGCACTGCAGAGCAGGTATGATCAGACCGTTGAATAAGTTCTTTCCTCCCAGCTGTGTTTCTCTTAAATTACTGTTTCACTATTTCCATTGCTGCATCATGCTGTTCTCATTCAATGGAAACAGTGTGACACTTTGTTTTTGTATTTAAGAGAATAGCTAGTACTGTTAAAATAAAAAGTAGAGTTCAGCTCCTATGTTCTTTGACCACCAGGATGAGAAGGGGATTAGTCAGCTGCCTTGGCTGGATGTTGTACCTCTAATGGTCACACCAGGATCTGCAACTCTAGAAGTGGTTAGCTGGGGTGGGGGGAATATTGGGCTATGATACTCCCCCCTCCTTTGTAAAGCACTTTGAAATGCAGGGTTACAAAACAGAAGAAGAAAATATTGTAATTAGGATTATGTATGCACATGAGCAATCCCCTGCTGGAAACCAAGGTAAGCAACATTGGTGCAAATCACAATTTATAGCAGCTTTGCCTGAGAGTACAGACCAATGCAACTATACTGTTATCTGGCCACCAGCAGCTGTAATTGCAGGCAAATCCACAAGGCCTAGGAGTCTTGCATTTATTTGTTGTTTTTAACTACTTGCCTGTATCACATGGTGCCAAATAACACCTACAAACTCTTTGTCTCTGTTAAAATCTTCATTTATATATTTTGCCTATATTTCCCTAGATGTCTTAATATCTAACTGCATTTGTGTGTTTACTTTGTTAGTATCTGTTATTGTATTTGTATTTTATAGGATACCTTTCATGATCCTTACTGAGCCCTTTTGATTCCTCACTTTAAAATTTCTCTTTAAAATTGAACAGAAGCTAGATTATTCCTTCACAACTTCACCAGAGAAGCTACTGGAGACAGAACTCTCTCCGATATCCTTTCTTCTGGTAATACATATTGATGTGTTAAAAGAGGAGGTGCTGCAACAAATAGCTATATTAAAGAGCTGGAAGTCACCTGCTACTATAAAGCACACTCATTAGGCCATCCCTCATTTATAATGTTTTAAGTTAATATATATTATGTTTGGGGTGAATGAAGATAGAGAGGGGATGTACCTGTAGCCAATGATTTAAGTTTATTATTCATGTATTGTGTGATTTAATGATTAATCAACATGTTATATCATATATATTCATTGTATGTTAATTAGAGTTAATTAGTAGGATTATAGAAGTATAAGATTGATCAGTATTTACAGGAAATTATGTATTAGATATAAGTAAGACAAGCTAAAATTCAAGAACTTGTAGGCTGATGCCTGCAAGATTTTAGTTTAGCTATTTTAGGCCTTGGAGACAAGAAATGCTGACATAAGTAAATGACCGAGGAATACGCTCTAAGATTATGGGAAAAAAGGCACCAAGTGGTAATGTTGCGAAAGTCTAGCCGAAAAATTAAATTTTAAATTATAAAATGCTGCAAAAGCAAATCTTGTCTCTAACATGTATCTTAACACATGGTATGTTAATGAGAACCTACACGGCCTATAGAATTCAGGGTCCCTTATGTTTCTAGGGGACACAAACCAGTAAGAGAGGGTTGACACTTCCGTGTACATGCGCAGAATGTAAGTATAGACAAAATCATTATAAAAAAGGGTGCCCACAGTGGGAAAATTGAGCTTCCTATGGGAAACTTCCAACAGGATCCATCCCCATATTGATGATCAATCCATGAGACGGCCATCAGACTCTAACACCATCTAGTAGGATGTGAGTATGTCTGTAGTTATAAATGGTGCATGGATATATTTAGGAATTGTATATGCTGTAACATTTATAACTTTGTTGGCAGCTTTAATAAAACGACTAAAAATAATGAACCTTCTTGTAATTGTGTTACTTGCCTTTGGTTTCATGTGTTCCTATGAGCTCTAAATATAAAACAAACAGAGATAACTCTTATTAAACTTAAGACTGTAGCCGCCAAAGGCAAACCCACTGTAGCATAACCATGCTAAAATTAACATTAAATAAAATAAAAGGCTACATACCTAACTAAAATAATAAAAACGACCATCTCAGCTCAAGAGCAACGTACTATTAATTTCTTAATTTATTGCATAATCCTGCCATGTTTGTTGACAGTTGTGTGTGCCAAGTTCTCACCCACAGTTTTCACCCTTCTGCTCATAGAAAGAGATGCTGTTCATTTGGCTGGCTACCAGGCTGGAAATCTCCATTATCATCATCTGACCTGCCTGCGTCAGGTGCCTTATCCTAAACCATTAAAGTGAGTCAAAAAGAGTGTTCTTCCCTCCCAAACAGAACACAGCTGCTTTTATAATGCACATGACTTGCATACTCTGGTCACCCCTGGTCTACACTACAAACTTATGTCAGTATAACTATGTCACTCAGGGGTTTGGAAAATCCACACCTACCGACCGACCTACGTCCTGATGTAGACAGTGCTGTGTCAACAGGAGGGCTTCTCCTGTCAACATAGCTACCGCCTCACGGAGAGGTGGAGTACCTACGCTGACGGGAGAAGCTCACTAAACGCTACAGTAATACAGCTACACCAGTACAGCTATGCCTCTGCAGTGCTGTAAGTGTAGACAAGCCTCATGTCCCTTCATAGAATGTCTGGAAAGAGAAACTCTTTGTGGAAACCATTAATATATATGTATTTCTTACTCCTGTTTTATGCAACTCCTATTGCTTACCTACCTGAGTTTTGAGTATTAAAAACAATAATGTACCTGTCTTTTTATTCCACTTCCCTGTATGTCTATTCATTCATAGCTATAAAGGATTTATAAACAGGAAGGTTTAATCTCATAGCAAACTCTCCTTGATAACATGTTACTCTGCTACTTCAGGGAGTCAATCCTTTAGCATAAATAAATTATACAGACAAAATAAAGGATTTGATGGCAGTATAACAAATTTAAATTCTCCTCTACTAAAATCGCCAAACATTTTGTTAGTCACTTTCAGCTACAAGGAGCTGAAGCTTTATTTATAATAGGCACATAGGAAAATAAAAACATGATCTCAAAATTTTTTTCCAGTAAATTCAAAGATTTTGGGTGAAATCCTCACTCTGTTGAAGTCAATGGGGAAACTCCCATTGGGCCAGGATGTCACCCTTTGCCTGTGCTGTGCATGCATGGTCTCCACAGCAATACAACTGTTTGTTCTCACAGAGTGAAAATGTTGCATTTGCTGTTTAAGTAAAGGTGATCTCTAAAACACAGCATTGCTTGGATCTGTGAAGAAAAGAATAAACAGCCAGTTAAAAATATAAATCAACACAACAGCCCTGCATCAATATCTCTGCAAAAGTCATTGTACCTGATTCAGTCACATCTTATTTTTAGGCTGGTTGTCTATCCAAGCTAGCTATGACTGCCATCCCAAAAGCTGTCCACAAGGTCATATACTTCTGGCACCTACCAAAACATTAGTGGATACTGCAAAATACTCTTTTGTGAGTAAGTAACATTCTTGGGGGTTCTTAGGTATTTGCATACCATTGATTCTGTAGGAACTGGTTAACTTCTGTAAAAATAACACAATCCAAATAGCTGGTAAATTCACACTATATTAAATAGGAACACAATTAAATCAATCACTGAATACATACCCACATTCCTGGTGACCAAAGTACCCATTTTGATGCTCTAAATTAGGGGTGGAAAACCTATGGCCTGCAGGCCGGATCTGGCCTGTTGCTTAATTTCACTCGGCCCGTGGCAAGCCCCGAACCTAGGCGCCCCGCAGGGCTGAAGCTGTGAGCACTGGCTTGCCCCACCATGGGCGGGAAGCCCCGAGCCTCGATGCCCCCCTCCCCTACCCCACGGGGCTGTGTGTGGCCCGCCATTGATTTTTTCTGTGGGCCAATGGCCCATGATAGAAAAAAGGTTCCCCACCCCTGCTATAAGCATCCTGTGACCTTAAGAACCCCTCAGTGCCAATTGGCAATGGGATTACAAGAATAGCCTGATATGTACATTCTCGTTCACCGAAGAATATCACGTGAGGTCTTAAATGAAAGCCAATGACATGTTGGTCATTAATATTGTTGTGAAATGTGAGTACAGTAACTATGTAAGGAATTATGTGTGTATATTGAGAATATGTTCCTAAAGTCTGTATCAAGGCAGAATTGACAGACAGGTTTTCTGTCATAAAAATGATGTTTATCACCTGTCTCGCCTGCATGTAAGTTAAGCATATAAGTTAACACAATGGAGACTCACTTACCTATGAAGTCAATGGGAGGGTTGTGAACTCAACAGGGAGGCAGCACACCAGAGAATATGCTATGAGGGTAGGGGTCATCCAAATTCTGAAGTTCAGACAATGAACTTTGGGGAAAATAAGGAGAAAGCAAGGAAGACAACCCTTTATCCTGCACCGAGCACGTAACTGGGTAGTACAATTACATTCACAAAAACAGGATCACAACCTGCCATGGTGGGAAATGCTGCAAAGAACATTTGGATGAGATAAACTTCTTTAGACAGAAAGTTCGCCTGTTAGGTTTAGTCTCTAGAAATCATGTTATAAATATACATGTTTTATTTGACCCTTTTGTTCCCTTTATCCTTTTTCATTGTCTCTTGTATCTTGAACCTTTGATAATAAATGTATTGTGCTTCCTTGCACCCTCCAATACCCTTCTGGGTCTCTAGGCACCACATCCTCTTTGCAGTGCTCATTTGGGCGTGTTTGCTCAGCTAACCTCCTCCATCTGGGGCATAAATTCCTTCTAGTGATATCACAGGAAAAATGTGTGCAACTTGGGACCCACAACCTTCCTGGAGGATTATTTGACATCCTCCCCAGTACCTCCACTGAGCTGTAAAACATGGTCTTTGCCTGAGGGCAGTCTCCAATGAACCCTGTCTGGTGAGATGGTAAAAGGCACCTTTGGGACTGGCACTCCTGGTTTCTAAAGTGACACTGCACTGTTATCACTCAGTGCTACCTCCACACTTGGCCAAAATGTCATCAGTTTGCCCAATATAAAATTACAGCTAGCTAGTTTCAGCACTGCTTGACTATAATAGAGCATCTATCACTACAACTGAGTCCACGGCATTCTGCTTCCCTACTACTTCTGCCTGCAAGCCAATAAGGCTTTAATTCATTCACCTGCATGCAAAATTACAGATGTAGTCTGCTGAGCTGAGTGCTGGGCTTCCTCTGTATAGCCTTAGGCAAGTCACTTAAACTCTGTGTGCCTCAATTTTCCCATCTGTAAAATGGAGATAAGTCTGACCTACTCACAGTGTGTTGAGGACTAATTAATGGTTGTAAAGTGTTTCGAAAATGAAAAAGTGAAATGTAAGCACTACTGTAGGTAATATGATTGACTGAAGAGTCAACATTCAACATATTAAATGGATCAACCAGAAATGCTGGAATTTTTCTGGAGCCTGCCACATTTGAGCCTCGGCAGCTCAATGAACTCTAGTACCTCATGACTGGAGTCAGTGTGAATGAAAGTGCCCTACCTTGTTCTGGAAGGTGAATTCCAAAACAGCTCACAACTTCCACACAATTGATTTGTACGTAGTTCCATTAAAAGAGTGAGAGGAATTAGAAAGTCTATATTGCGTGACTTTTTCTGCCCATTGGTTTGTTGACATGAGGAGTGTGATGGCTAGTGACATACTGAAATACAAAATGAGTCAACATTACGATGTCAAGTTGTCCGTTGTTTCACTTAAAAACTGTGTCTCTCAAAATCTTGATCTTCATAGATAAGTACTGTAACAAATCCAAGGCCATCTGGGACATCAATGTCACTGCATGCCATACCATGGCCACTTGGAATTTCATAAAGATAGTGAAGACGTAGACGATCCTCCCACTCCAAAAGCACAGGTCCTACTTCTTGAGTTAAAGGAGACTCTTCATTAATGGCTAGCAGTACAGAGCCTATGGCATACAGTTGAGCAATTCTAATTATAGTCAGTAGAGGATTTAATTGGGGATTGGTCCTGCTTTGAGCAGGGGGTTGGACTAGATGACCTCCTGAGGTCCCTTCCAACCCTGATATTGTATGATTCTAGGATACATACACAGTACTCAGCTCATTACAGCATTATAACCAATGCCTCTTTCTTACTTGTAGTGTCCCTGATTTTAGGATCAACTTTTCCAATTTCCTCCTAAATTGCACCCACAGGGTTTGCCTCTACATCTGCAGAATCCACCACGTTTGCGCCCGCACTCCTTGAGCCTGCCTGACCATTTGCACACGTACCTCACATTTACCTCTGTCAAGTCCTCATTTATGCCACCAATTCTGCCAGCCTGTGCAAATACAGGGTTTATGGGCACGGCAGAGATGGGCACAAATAAGCAAAGCAGGCAGAGGCAGGTTTGGGAGGCTCTTTCCCAGTCCTTGCTGCCCGTCCTCTAAAGGACAGGGCGGCATTAGTCTGGAAAACCCTCGTCCACCTCTCTTTCTGTCTCCCCCTAGCATCCTCCTTCTTCTCTCCTTGCCTTGCAGCCTCCTCCATCAGATCCCTGGCAGCCCCCTCCATTACCCTCCTCCTCCTCCACTCCTGGGAGCCTCCATCCCACTCCCTCAGCCTCCCCTGGCACCCCCCTGCCCTGAGACCCTTCGCCCCCTCAGGCTCCCCAGGAGGCGGCATCCACCCCCTGAGAGCCCCTCCCTCCTGTCCCCTCTCCCTGCCCCCGCAGCAGCCTTCTCAGGTTCCCATGGCAACCTCTTCCTCCCTCATACCCCGCCCCTGCCTCGCCTCCATTCATGCCCAAGAAGCCACGCCCCTCCCCTGTCACGTGACCAGGGCCCCAGGCGCGTTCCCCACCAGGGCTTTCCCGGCCGCTTCCGGGTGGGTGCGGGGCTCGCGGTCCTGAGGCGGAGGGGGAAGGCGGCCGTCAACATGGCGGCGCGCAGAGCGGGCAGCGCCTGAGCCCGGCTCCCGGCCCCGATCCCCCTCCCCGGCCCGGCCATGGAGAGCGAGGAGGAGCAGCACATGACCACGCTGCTGTGCATGGGCTTCTCGGACGCGGCCGCCATCCGCAGGGCCCTGCGCCTGGCCAAGAACGACATCAACGAGGCCGTGGCGCTGCTCACCAACGAGCGGCCCGGCCTGCACTACGGCGGCTACGAGCCCATGGACAGCGGGCAGGGCCAGCCGGGGCAGGGCGGGCACGGCTCGCCGGCGGGCGGGCAGGGCTCCCGCGGAGGGGACGGAGACGGCGGCGGGGGGAGCGGCGGCGGCGGTGGCGGCGGTTTCGACCCACCTCCCGCTTATCATGAGGTGGTGGAGACCGAGGTGAGGCGCGGGGGGCTGCCTGGGACGGGGCCCCTCACCGCTGCCTGGGCTCCCGGGCGAGCTGAGCGCTGTCAGCCGGTGCCGGGCTGCGCCTAACGGGCCGGCCGGTGTCGCCTCATCCCCGGGTTAACGGGCCGATCCCCCGCAGGGGCCCGGCCCGGGAGGGTGGGATAGCGACCCTGTGAGCAGAGCCCGTCCGCTCTGCTCAGCTCCCACCGCTCGCCCGGCAGCGTTGCGGGCTGCTCGGCCACCTCCCAGCCCCGGTGCACAAAATACCTGGCCGGGGCTTGGTGTAAGGGGGCTAACTCCACCCAGCCTGGATGACTGGGCTACTGGGCCAAAGGCATCGGGGAGCTGGTAGGTTTCCAGTGCTGCGTTGGGGCGGTTCCAAAACTCAGTGGGTGCACGGGTGAGGGCTGCTCCCTGATGTGCTGGCAGAGCAGAGTCTGGTGGTAGCTTTAGCTTCTCCCACAATATGGATCCTGTTGTAGGTTGCCCCCAAAATGGAGCAGCTCTACCCGTGGCATGTGGTAGCCAGTTTCAGCCATCATCAGCTCAATTAATTCAAGGTATCGCTGCCACTGCCCCACTGAAAGTGTTTTTTTCCTCTTTGGTGGTTGTGGAGAGAATATGCCATATTTATTTATTTCAGTTTCTGGAAAGTGAAGTGCTTGCCATTCGCTCTAAGCATTTTAGGAACACCGCATTATCTGGCTTTGCCAGGCTTTTTTTTTTTTCTTTGCCTCATTGCATCAGCCAGGTGGCTCTACACTGTAATGTTCTTTTATTATTATTATTTTATTTGGTTAAAAGAAAGAAAAAAGAAAAATTACAGTGTGATTACCTTGGTTTATTTTGCACAAATCAAAATAGAGTTGGGTTTGTTACTGGATGCTAAGTTAATACAGATAGAAGTAATGGGAATAAGAATAAATGGCAACTTAAAAGATGGTGAACTGAAATAAAAATGCTTTAAAATATTGATTTTTCAAACATTATAATTTAAACTTATCTGTATTACAAATAGCTTTTTGATAAAGGTACTGAAGAATATTGCCCCTTCACAACTTTGCCTCTTCCTACTGGTCTGCTTTTGTCTTTTCTCTCGTCTCTTCTCTGTCAGTTATGCCAGCCTTGTCATCAACCCTTATGCCAGCTTCTCATGCAAACCTCTTCATGCCTCCTATGCTGCCTCTCATGTGGATGCCTTCTCTGACCTTACGTGTAAAGCCATTACCCTTTCTTCCCTCAAATCTGAATTCAAAACTCACCTTTCCCATGATGCCTTTAAGAAATGAGGCAATAAATGTCTAGATTGTTGAATGTAGGGGGATGGCTGGTGCTTATCTCTGTTTTTTAACGTTGCTATTATATGCGTAGGGGTGTGTGTGTATATATATACACAAGCTGTACCCTTACTTTCACTGCATCACTTTACTTAGGCATATCTTAGGAACGTGAATAGCCCTGTTGAACTCAATGCGTTAAATCTTCAGTAGATGTGCTATGATGAATTATGTTACATGCATAACGTTACTCATGTGGAGGTGTCTGCAAGGTCGGAACCATATATTTAAATCAACAAAGTTACAATGTGTAAACCACAAACTGGTTTTTAGTGTCTGCCTTGGAGAGGCTAGTGGGGGACAAGTATCGTGATCCCAATATGTGTGATCTGTTGTCAGTAAGCAGTTTATGACCAAAGAAGGGATATTTAACGTCTTTAATTTCAAATAAACGTGTATAGTTACACATGAGATAAGATGCTTTTTTCAATATGATATTTAAAGGGACACGGGTCATTTAAACATTACATTTGTCTTTTTTTTTTTAACCTATTCTTGTTACAAATGATATCTAAGATTGTGATACTACCTCTGATAGAATAGAGGGGGGAAATTCCTTTGTTTGTGTATTTGATGCTTTGTGTATAGTGAACTTCACTGTTTCCCTTTCATAGTAAAATATTTCCCTTTTAGTGGTAGTGTTACAGAAACTAGGGAAACAAACAAAATACGGAAAATATGACAAATTGCAGAGGGTTTAGGAGCATTTGGGAGTACAATTTCAGCAATAGGATCCACACAGATGCAAGGGTTCTTCCACAGTGACAGATCTGATTACAAGATTGAGAGCCTAATTTTTTGTAATGTAAAAGTCTTACTCACAGGAATAGTTTAGGGAACAAAATTGGATGTTTTTGTATTGCATTGTTACGGTTCTTTACTTATTCCAATTTTTCCTCTTTAAGGTATGAGCTGTGACCAGCTATTGTATTTTGTGTTCATTTTTTTAAATTGTAACCTGGAGCATTCCTATATATACTCATATTAGGAGACTACTATAATAGACACCTTCTGAAGCAGAGCTTCAGGATATACAATTGGTTAAAGAGACACAGACCGCTGAGAAATGCTTGTTTGCAACATAAAATGCTCTTTCTCTTACTAATGCTAGCTTACATTATTAAAAACTAAAATGTAAACTGGATTTTAAAATGTATTAATTTGTTTTTCTCATCTTGGACAATGAAAATTAAGTTCTTAATGTTCTTAATGTTGCAGTGTTCAGGTTCAAACACTGCAGGGGAGTTGCTTGAGCGGGACTGGTTATGTTTTATAAAAGCTTGTCTTTACAAAATTAAAATTTTGGCCAAATACATGTTGATGCTTTTTCTTGTTTCCTTATAGTAATTTTAGATGCCCCCTTTGTGCTTCAGCTGAGTTGTTTCTGGGATAATTTTAATGAGGTTTTAAATAAGGTGTTCTCTTGAGAATCCATGAAACTTTCCAGAGAAAAATATTTCCACAGCATTTGGATATTTCTAGAAATGCCTATATATTATGTTTGTTGTGATTACTAGAGTTGCATGTTAAGCACTTGTATTCACAATTTTTGATAAATAAGCAAGGTGATGGAATTTAGAATAGTCCTATAATTCACTTGCTGATTATGATGCATGCCATTATGGTGGATTATATTATTGCAGAATTCCCTACCCTGAGCTACCAAAAAAGTCTGTTCAACCATCATCAACTCCATCCATCTTGGAAAGATATAACGGGGAGCCTGTTTGCTTGCTGCATTATCTGCCTGTGTGGGCATGGAGTCCATTAAATTTAAGGCTTAAAAAAAACCCAAAACACATTTGACATTTTGGAGACATTTCTGCGCTCTTAATTCCCCTTATACTGTCCTGTTCTTTGAGGCCCCATGGGACTGGGGCTTTTGAGCCTGAGGCTTGCAAGAGGAGATTGTGTCTGTGTCTTGGTGGCTCTAGGGTTGTGGGATCTCTTCTCTTTGGAACTTATGGTAATAACTTAATAAGTCCTCTTTAGAAATTCAAATCCTTTTTTATTTCAAATCCTGTCTTAGTATGGCATGTCTCTGATTTTAAGGTTTATTCTCTTGAATTACAAATGATAAACTTTGATTCAATGATTAAAATGCCAAAACTGCTTGTAAATATATGCTACGTACATTTAATAATAAAGTCAGTGATGAAGTACACTGTAATTGCATAAATAATATACTTGTTAATTTGTATTTACATTGCACGTTAGGGATATGCAGTCTAAAACTAGACAAAGCCAAAGGATGAGAATCTAAAAGTTGGAGTGTTCAGATAAAATCCCAAGAAAATACAGGAAAGGAAGAATTTAATCAGGAAGGTAATATCTTGATCAGGAATACTCTGTAGTACATTAATAAAAGTGATGTAATTATTAACATCTCTTGTTTTAAGCTTCGTGGTGAATGGGTGAGTTTCAGTGAGCAAGGCCCAATGGTCTATCTGCCTGTGCCCACCTTCAGTGACTGGATTAAACATTTGTTATGTGTGGAGAAGAGCTAAGGAACTTTCTCATCCTTTGATGATAGTAGGGAGGATTGTGACTGTTATATTGTTACCATCCTCTAAATGGATCAGAATAAAAATTCTCCTGTGAAGTCAGAAACTGATCTTAAAGAGAGAATATGGTGGTGGTGGTAACTCTCTTACTCTGGTTATTGAGAGGAAAATTTAGAGGGCTGGGAGCTCATTATATAACTTAAACCTTGCAGTATGACAGAGTAGTAACGTGCTGTGTGCTTCACCCATACTAGATGCACTTGCTGATCTGCAGTTTTATGTATTAGTTTCATTTCCTAACTTTACAATTAAAAAGAATCTGGAATTCATATTAGTTTTTCTGGTTTTTTAGATAGGAATTTCCTTGGT